GAAAAGATTCTGAAGAAGCACCATGCTGAACTTGTGTTCATTTCAGCTATCAGCTATTGGAAACAGGTTTCCAGTCATAGAACTCCCTCTTAAATGTAAAAAAGCGGCAAGAATCTCTATCAAAGACAATTATCCTGATATTAAGTGTCTGAAATTGAAAGTTTCATTGGCCCTTGAGTGTACCAATGTGGTACCATGGTAGAAAAGTAGTAGGTTACAAAGAGCTAAAGGCCAGAATGAAAAGGTCACAGCAGTAATGAGCAGTGCAACTCCTACTGCTGCATAGCACTCGGTTGTGAATGTCACAGTCAATTAAAGAGAGCAGAAAGTTTAATTGAAATGAAAATAGCATGTGGTTTAGACTACAAAGAAACCCAAGGCTGAAGGGGGATGAGTACAGTCAAAGCAAACTCATCAGTAGTCAGAAAAATATTATATAACTAAAAGATAGCAGCTACCCAAAAGTACAAATGTGAACAGTTGAAACTATTCATATGTGTAAACGTTTCATAGCTATATTTAGTAACAGCAGAGACTATGATTAATTTAGGAAGAGAATTACATGTTGGAGGCACTTGTGATGAAATTGTATGATGTAGTTCTCTTGCGGCTCTAAAGTCATGATGGTTGAAGTTGCAGCTGTTTTTGCTCTTTTGATATTAATGAGAAATGACCTCTGTTTCATTCTTTACACTTCTACAAACAAAGCAACTAATCAAGTATTAAATCAGTGGTTACTGAACTTGGTTTGATGTAGTTCAATGAGTTCAACTTCTTTTCATATCTGGAGGATTGAAATTCATCCTTAACTGCTGCAATTTATTTTGGAGTATATCCAACTACTTAGCCATAAACTGTCTCAAAGGATCTCTAATCTGCTCATGCTGCAGCGAATGTAGGGTCCATAATTAAAACTTCAGCGAGGGGAAGAGTTTAAACACAAAGTAAGATTTTCTCAACAGAGATTAGAGTGACTATGTTGGAAGACAGATGTGCCCAAGGACAGTTTACTCGTGTTATCAAATGGTTGCTTGATATGGGAAACAGGCAAACTTTGAGTAGGGAGTTCCATCTTCCCAGGGATAAATATATAGTATTGCTATTGTTACCTTTACAAACACTTTATGCACCTTACAAACTCTACTGCATTAACTACCACTATCATCACCAGCACTACTATTTACTATTACTATTTACCAGTATTATGATTTTTGTGAGGTTACCCTAACCACTAAAGCTTTTGGTGTCTCTTAAGAGACCTTAAAATGAAGATGGATTATGTTGTTATCCAACTTGTACTGCTATATTCTCAAAAGAATACTTGATACTAAATGTTTTGAACTGTATTCAAAAGTTCATTGCCTCTTCACAATAATTAGACATGATTTGCTTCTTTTCTCTTTCATGCTGCTTCTCAGACTATGATGAAATATTCATCTGAGGTTTTGACAGTAATTGGAGTGTTATAGCTTGCAATATACATATAGAATTTAAGAAGAACATATAATAATTTCTTTGTGTCTTTTTTCTATGCTTTATTCCTGTGAGGAAGCTAAGAAAAAATTTTCCCCCTCAAAGATCAGTCAAAGGATGCCATTAAGGAAGAAGTTCTTGCATCAAATACACTTTTGAAGAATTTTGAGTGCCCAAATACCAGAAATTTCACCTTTTACAGCTCCCAACAGCTATAACTATAGATATGCATTCTCCTGGAACGAGGTACTATTTATTTACAAAAACAACTTGTATTGAGAAAGCCGTAGAAGTTCTCACTAAATTCTGATCTATCAAAAAGAAAGTGCTGTGTGATATGTTTAGCTCATACCACTCAATGTAATGGTCTCAATCTAGGAAAGAAGAAAATGAGATTAAAACCAACTGCAGAGCTGTGGTTACTCCTGGCAGAGGCTTGGTCTCTGGTAATATTGTACCACACACAAATATAGCTGCGGCCTGCAGCTGGCCCACAGGACCCCATAGTCTGAATCCTCTGATGTTCTGACTTCTGCAGTGCCCTTGAGGGCCACAGAAGCATGCAGAGTCAGAAGGAGATATTGCAATTTTGTCTTGAAGGTAAGCATGCAGCACCTGGCCTCTGACTGTGAATCAACGTGAAGCACTGTCGTGAATGTATTCAAGCTGCCTCCTGTCTCCTGTCCAGCTATGCCAAAGTGGCAAAGTCCTGCTGGGCTGTCTGTGCTCTGTTTCTCCAGGAGCTGAAGAAATGAAGCAAAAAAAAAAAAAAAAAAAAGCTGAAGAATAAAGGGCAGTCAGGTTTTTTCCTTACAAAAATAAAAAGATAAAAAATTTAAAAAATGTTTTCTCAACACTTTAAGCAACCTAATACTGGTATTAAACCCTTTTGTACTTAGTTTTCTAGCTGCATGAAACATTTAACGATTTTAAGTTCTGCTTCAAAAAACTGTGTTTTATAGGGGTTCATATCCTCGTCCGTTTGTATTCCTCCTATATTGATGCTAATGGAAGCTGCAGGAAGGGACAGGTAGGGTAGAACTTTTTTATTTATTACTTTCTTTTGGGGGAGAAAATATGCTCAGCTTTGCAAAGCTTAATGATGCCTCTGCTGTGGCATTACGAGCTTTGCTCTGTGCATATCTTGATCTTTCTTGGCACAGGTGTCCTCTCAGAGGCATCCAGTGAGAAAGGGGTTTTTTTTGGCTGCCTGCAAAGCAGCAGAAGTCCATCACCATTTTAGTTTTGGATATATTTTGGACTCATCTGTTGTCACAGAATGAGGTGCTTATTTGGCATTACTTTTAAGTTCCATCAGGTCCTAATTACATCAGGTCATTATTACTGTCAAGCTTCAATGCCTAAAAATAGCATAAAAATAGAGCAAATGTTGATTTTAAGTATGCTTTATTTATTAGACTGATGTCTCAGTATTTGGATGTAAGAAAAAATGAAGGCAGCAATAGCCTCTTGCTATGCAATAAATTGTGTCCCCGTGGTTTAATATCCTGCCCACCTGCACTGTCTCTGCTGCTCTGTCATGTATCCATGGCTTAGACTGATGCCCAGCACAGTGGGATCATGATGTGATGGTGTGGCTGATATTTCACTTTACTGTGTTGGGAACTTTATGCACAGCTGAAACAGGCTCTTATGATGCCAGAATAATAGGCACAACTCTTAGACCTGTTGTAGTTAAATTGTTCTGATAATGGTGATGTTTGCAATACAAATACCGTGCTCAGGCACTTTCTGTCTGGAGTGAAACCATGTGGCTGGAATGTGTTGAAAGCTCTTTTGAGCAAGCACTGTCTGTTTTGAATTTGGCTAGTGTAAAGGGAGTAAGCTTAGGAGTCAAAAGCATTACAAACCATGATGAGGAATGAGAAATTGAATGCAGTAGCTGGGAAGGACTGTTAACTGGCATGTAGAAAATTTTGTGACGATGTGACACATTTGCCTTATGGCATCTTTGGCAAAAATGTTACAGTAAAAAAAGAACTCTCTAAAAGAGTTAACCTAATACAAATGATATGAGGGTATTCCACCATTATTATTATTATTTATTTCTTTTTATACTTGTAATAATTCAGGTGCTTTCCAGACAGAAAAGCTGCAGGCTCTGCCCCAAGGAGCTTACAATCTAAAGGTGGACAAGGAGAGAGACGTGAAGGAGAGAGGGTCTACAGAGCAGTCAAGAGGCCAAGATGGAAACTAACCAAACAAATATGATTTGAACACATTGCTGCAAAGCTGTACAAACTATTTTCCAATTATGACTCATATTTTCCATTTTGGTTTAACTGTATCTGCCATGACACAAACAGGTGTGGAGGAAAGAAGCTTTCAGTATGTGACATCAGAAAGAGTAGCACATATGTAAAGCAGAGCTGGAAAACTCACCTTGAAGTATAGAGATGAGAGGGGTTTGCCTGGATTTCTAAGACACAATTCAGTACCAGGACAATTTAGATCCAGAATGACATGGCTTTAGGTCAGGCCCTACAGGTTTACATGGGATAGATTCCATCAGAAATGTAAATTCACTCTATGCATCTGGAAGTTCCTTAATACATCCTAATATGAATTACAAAATCTACCATGGTAGGGCTGAGGAAGTTAAGAGTGAAATAACAACACTTTTGTAGTATATTCTGTGGGGGAAAGAATGGTGTTGAAAGCTAGGGGTGGTTAGTCTTATGCCAGTTGTAAAATGACATTTTTAATAATGTAGAACATCAGCCAATGATTAAAAAAACCCCACAATGTTTAATTTTAAAAATACTAGTTTTAACTAAGATAGTGAGTCACTCATCAGTTATGAAAAATACGATTAGGTTTTCTTTATACATTTAGTATCTATTATAAAACACCCAATCAGGTTCCCCCAAACTGTAAAATTGTCAAAGAAACTCCCTTAAGGCATGCCTTCTAAAACTTCTCAACAAATTGCCATATTTATTCAAGTACTCAGGGGAATCGCTGTATGCTTTTTTATTCCTGAAGTATCTTTCCCTTATCAAATCCAAGTGTGTTGTAAAGGCAGAAGCTAATAAGCAGCTGAATATTAAAGTGCATAGGTTCTCCACATGAGGAAAAATAGACGGTTGAAGAAGCAGTAGCTGTGGTGATAAAGGCTTCTTGGGGAGTAATCCATCATCAGTTTTTAGTAGGCCACAGATATTTCTTTTCCTCTAAGAAACATTTCTACAGTCTTCAAAACTTGCAAATGCATTTCTAACAATGGAATCAGGACAGTCACACTCCTCTTGCTGTGAGGGAAAAGTTGTAATTAAATAATCAAATAGACCTATTTTTCATAATTTACAGGTATTCATATTCCTTCAATAAATAAAAGAATATAATTTATCTTCTGATTCTGTATAGATTTTGACACAAGTTTCTAGCAATTTAAACAAATGATTCTAATAGCTTGACATGAATTATGCTGGCAGGAGCCACATATGATTATTATGGCGCACAGAATCTTTTAAGAACCTACAAAGTTAAATAAAAGCTTACAAGTCTCTTAAGCTACTTTTTATTTGCATAGAAAAATATTTATCATAGGAGTCAACTATCATATGAGAGAAATTCCATTTGTTGTAATTGAAAAAGATAGCTAAAAAGTTTCTGTGGGTTATTGCAACAGTACAAGAATACAAGATGCTTCCATTTATTAAAAAATGTAAAACAAATCGTGAAAGCTAAAGCAGGCTACAAAACAGAAGGTCCTCATATTTTCTTTCTCTTGACTACTATGTTACAAGATCATGTGCCACAGTTGAGTACTATAAAGTGTAATTCTGCATTAGCTAATATAGTTCTTAAAACATTCCCCCCCAAAAGCACTATGCAAAATATATATATTTGTAAATGCTTCCTCCTGTAAGCATCACAACCTTGTTATCACATAGTCCCCCTGAACAATTGTTTCCTGTTTCCCATCAGAGTCAATGCTAATGTCCAAAGCCTTGCCCAGCTGATCCTGTGGAGTGGCAGGTTCTGAGCTCTGTAACTCCATTTTCTCTGTTTCTGAAGGACAAATACTCCCCTCTTCGTGTGAATCCAAAGACTCACTGGTATTTTGTGACTCAGCTAAAACACATTTTTTGCCAGGATTTCGGAAGTTTAATTCACAGTTCATGATCAATTCTCCCTCTTCCAGTTCATCAGTTTTCTCACATTGTTCTTCTGCCTGTTGGCGGGAAACTTCTTCAGAAACGGTGTATATTTTATTTTTACTCTGTTCCACAGAGTTTGTTTTTGATCGTCTGTGAAACAACCCAAAATTTTTTATGTCTGTTACAAAATTCACCCGCTTTTGTTTCTCCTGAGTGGTCTCCGACACCATCATTGCTGAGCCATTGCTTACACTATGTCCTTCAGAGGCGATATTGGCTGATCGTGGGTGAATCATCGTTGTTATGTCAAAAAGGCTGAAGGGTTTCTTCTTTCCTTTCTTGTTTCCTTCACTCTCGCTATTTTCTTCATTTTCTGACAGAGAGGCAGTGTCTTTGCTCATCTTCCCAGTCTGCAAATTAGACAGCTTGCTTCCTTTTAATAAACCCAGGACTTCAAAGCGAAAGCTGGAAATATCTTGTTTTAACTCCTAAAAATTAGGAAAAAAGATGAAATGTCAGAACATCAAAGCTAATTTGACTTTTCTTTTGAAATAAAAAGAGAAAAAAAAAGGGGGGAAAAAGGGCTTATGTTTGGGTCAGTAATAAACTTTACTCTCTCAATGTTGGGATACCTGGCATCTTCAAGGCTGAAGATCTTGCTCTAGGAAGCAAGTTATATGCTACCTGAATAACTGAGTGTAAGAAATATGCTTCACAATTTTAAAATATCTTACTAGGTTATTTAAACACCTATAAAGATAAAAATAAACACATACCTTAAAATTTTCTTCTGTCAATCCTTCCTCAGTTTTGGCATCTCTTATCATTGCTGCAACATACCTTTTAACCAGATTTCTCATAACTTCCTAAAAATACAAAGCATTGTATTAGCTTTCTTGGTATTAGTAAACATACACTCACAGGCTCTGCTTGGGCTTTTTCATGCTTTAGAAATATGACAAAAACTATACAAACCTGTTTGAAAATTTGTTTTGCTATTTGATGGAAACTATTAATGCTTATTATCCTGAGAAGGGATATGTTGGGTTTGACCCAAGGTATGTTTCCTGCCAGTAATATCCAGCCTGGCAGCGAGTAGTTGCTGATGCCTCATGAAGAGAGCAAGTCTGGTGTGGTTGTACAACTTTATTTCCAGCTATTCTCTCTCAAGCCTCCTGTGCTGTGAGACACAGTGACTCTCTGAACAGCAATGATAGTTCTAGGTTTAATTGGCTGTGACAGGCTTTCTTATGCATTTTGAACTAATGTAAACTTCCAGTATTCAAAAATTCTCTGCCAGTGAATTCCACAGTACGGAGTAAGATTCTATTTCGGGGTTTTATTTTTAACCTTCAGTCTGGGAGCTTCCATTGTTGTCTTCTAAGAATTCTAGAAATTATTTAGGTTGAAATAGATACCTGGAGGCAGTCTGAGTCATCTCAGGGCCATGCCCAGTCAAGTGCTGAATATCTCCATGGGTGGAGATACTGCAGCCTCCCTGAGCAACATTTTCCAGTTCTTTACTAGCCTCACTGTGAAGACAATTCTCCTTACCATACAGAATTACCCTTCCTTCAACTTGTGTCCATTTTGTCTTTTGCATTGTACCTCAAAGAAAAATCTGGCTCCTTCTCTCTAACCATCCACTATGATATTTAAGGCAGCAGGTATACTTCCCCTAACTCACTCCAGGCTGAAATCTGAGCTGCTTATATGACAGTCCTCTAACCTTTGGTGCCCCCTTGCTGGATCCCTTCCAGTTTGTTAACATCTCCCTTGTAGTATGGGGCCCAGTCATGACACGCTGCTCTGGATACAGTCCCACAGGTGAGGGCTGGAGGAGAAAAATCACTTCCCTCAAAAGGCCTTCTATACAGCCTCACTTATGCAGTGTAGTACATATGTGGTATTGAGTTTACAGATAAACGGCAAACTGCTGCTCTGTGCTCACCTTCCTCATGATTCTATAGATCCCTGTTGTACTTCCCACAGCTTCCTCTTCCTCAGGCTGGAGAAGTCCCAGCTTACCTAGTTATTTCCCATATGGGATTCATTAACTACCAAGCCTACAGCTCACACCTTGTTTAACTTTTACACAACAAAAATTCAAAATAAAGATGAAAATTATTCATTGTGAAATAATAATCTAAAAAAAGTAGAAACTGAAGAAAGAAGGATGAAAAATAATTGCTTACATACAGAGTATCTAGGCAGAGGGGTTATTAAGGAAGTTATTAATATGGAATTAAAGCTGGACCAATGAAGAGCAGGTTCTGATGGAGCATGTCAGTTCACTGTACATATGGTCCTGATGATTCCGGCAGGCAGGAGTTTGCTTTTTTTAAAGGCAATCCATGTTACACTGGGCAAAATACTGGATAGCATGTTATTGCTCTAGAAAATATCCTTTTGCTCCAAAAAGAAGATAACTGTATTCTGAAACTCTTTTGTTTGAACATCAAAAATACTAAGCTTGTTTGCTGAAGAGGAAATAAGCACATATTGTATGGTTTTACCCATTTATTTTCCTTTTCCACTTTCTCATGAAACTCTTCCATATTTTTCTTTCCTCATGAAGACATTCTGAAGTCATAGAAAAACAATTGCCCAAATAATAAACATAGGCCTGTACCTGGTATTGATGATGTCTCCGCAAATTGTCAGCTGCACGTCTCTGAAAAATAGAAAAGAATAAAAAAATATTAATCTCTGTGGGGAAGTAAAATATTTAAGCATAGAAAACAGCAGGCCTGTGCATTATACAGTATCTAGCAAGCTGAGAGAAGAGGTTCAAAATCTGTTGAAAAATGACAGTATTTCAACAAAGACTATAATTTGCTTTTATAGAAAGGGGAAGGATGCTGTGCGGAAGGCAAAGTTGATTTTCTACATTTTTGTCAAAATGCTTTTATTCCTGCATCAGCATGGATATGGTGGGGCAGCCAGGTCACAGGTTGCAGAGTCCCAAGGTCAATGATCTGAGAAGGAAGTGGAATAATGGATCGTGTCACTCACTTGCACAGACTGAAACATATTTTACTGAATTGAAAGAAGGTTGACTCATGTCAAGTTAGATTTTTCTTGGAGGTGCACAGTGAAAGAATGGGAGTCAATGGACATGAGTTACCGAAGGGAAATTCTGCATGGAAAATCATCAACATGGTGGGATTGTAAAGTCCTTGTGTAAGCAAGACACTTGCTATGGCTCTTAATGTCTCATTTAAGGTAAAGCTAATCAAAACCTGCACTATAAAACTGTGTTAATGAGAAAAGCTCCCCCTTAGTTCTCTGTTAAAACCACTTAGTCATAGAGAGCTGTATGGAAGAAAAAAAACAGCTTTCAACACAGTATGGTGTTGATAAGGAGGGAGGGTAAAAGGACAGTAACTCTGAAGAGGAGCAGCAAAAGAAGTGTGATAAGATGAAAGAATTGCCCAGGTTTCAAGCAGGGGAATTAAATTAAACTGCCATATCTAAGGGCTGCCCAGAAGAAGACAGGGAAAAAAGGCCAGATTTATTTATTCCCTTGACTTCCTTTTGTCCTCAATTGCATAGTAAGTAGCATATCCCCATCCTTTACAATAATTATTCCTAATTGGTGAAAAAACCACAGCTTTAACTTAGACTGTCATATCTACAACTGACAAAAAAATAATGTGTCTGACCACTGACTGAATCTCTACAAAACAGAACACTTGACAGAAACCTAAAATAGGGGGATAGGACATCCAAGGGACTTGTTAAAATTGACATCAGTTGCACAGTAAGGCAGGCACAGCAAGTTATTTAATCTTTTTTTTTTTTTAAACTTAAAGAAATTATGAACCTTCTCCCTGTATTTGGAGTCAGTTTACACTGCAGGGTTGATTTCTTGTTTGCAATTAATTTGAGAGATGCAGTGGCTTCGTGGCTGGACTAGCAAAAACTAATAGAAAGGGGGAAAATCATTATTTCCTAATCAGTCTGAAAAGCCACTGTGGGGTAGGGCTTTGTACATGAGAATGCTTTCTTCAGTATTTTTCCAGACCGTGTTTCTCCATCTATGCCGTATAAAAGAGAAAATGGATATTCTTTGTGTTTAAGGATGGAGGGATGGGCGAGCCTGCCCATCACCAGGGCCAGAGGAGACAGTGCAGCCGTGGGAAGGCTCATACCCTCACAGCACCCGAACTTAGCCGGTTTTTAGAAAAAAAAAAAAATAAATTCAGCTTTCTTGCAGTTGGCCACACGATGGAGATGTTTCATTCTGCTGAGAGAGCACTAAGGGAGTCCGTGGCTAAGAGAGCTCTCAACACAGATCTGACTCACAGGTGAAAGGAAAAACAATTTAGGGTGTAATTGAAACACACTTCAGGTAAAGTGAATAACTCCTAAATATAAAATGCTGATTCTTTTCTTGCACAATACTTCCTGCAGCTGCTGTCTATTCTGCTTTATTTCACATTCAGTGAAATGTGAAATAAATGCATAAATTCAACTCTGTATCTGTAACAAGAGCTATCTAGATACCATTTATCCTTTTTTTGCAGCCAATTTGGAAACTCCCAGAAACAGAGGCTGTGGCTTTCCCCCTTAATGTAATGCCAACAAGTACAATTTGGGATAACTACGTGAAAAGATTTATGTGATAATGTGTCAGAACAGTTCTACTGCACTTAATTGTTTTCAATCCATACCACCAAGAAGCTGCAAGAAAATTAATTTAATTGTATGTTTGCATGCACATCTACATACCTTCTCCACAGGGAATTACACATAACCTATCAAATTTATTATCACCAAACAGTTCTCTATCTCTCATTTAAATGTTTAGGTTCCATCTCCACCTCCTAATCATATTTTGCTTCCTTTTGAAAGCAGAATGAATCTCTGCCTAAACACATCTGAAAACCAGTCTATTCACTAGAAATAAAATGTCATTAACATTTATATTGTACTTATTTAGTTCTCAGCCGGCCCGCTTTTCTCAACCCAGTTATAGTCTAATTTATGGTTCAAAATTTGTTTCAAGTAACCATTTTTCTGTGTGCATGAAGAAGTTGAAAACTATGACTGGCAAAAGGATGAAAGTTTAATTTTACTAAAAATAGTAATGGTGGGAAACTCAGTTATGCATGTTGAATACAACAATGAAATTGGAGGGGATGCTGTTGTCACTTTCCAAAAGGGGGCACCAATATCCTTTAGGAAGCTTTAATAGTAGCTCCACTAGTAGTGGTAATTATTCTGATTCTCCTGTTTATGCCATTGCTAGCAATTTACACTGCTTGGAAAAAAAGATCTCTTTAGCAGACAAAAATTTAATAAAATTGTATTACTTATTTTGATGTGTTTTATTAAAATATATTTTACAATGCAGGAATACAAATCCAATGCCTGCACTTGACCTTAAACTCCTAAATGATAAAGAAAATGGAAATATTGTCTGAAGCTGTGGGATATATTCCTCATCTTGACTAGAAGCATCACCTTTAAAGGATTAGAACTTATCTGTGTTGATAGAGAAGATTCTCCATGAAATGATTCTTGGCTATACAAGAAACACTCCAGATTATTGATTTCCACACCAGATGGAAGGCATTATTTCTTTGCTCAACTTTCAATAACAGACATTACAGAGAAAATACAAAATTCTTACACTGACTTAGAAATTGCATCATTTTCCACTAGGTGAAAAAAGAATAGAAGAAGGGAAAAGGAGATTTTCTGTGACAAATGATAATAAAATTGTGTAGGTTGCTCAGAAAATGGCATAAAATTCTGTATAGCTAGAAAAGAGGCAACTGTTTATCTAAACATCAAATGCAAAAAAAAATTATTGAAGCTATCTCTGGCAATCCTGGCCAATCTCAATTTTCATTTCTGAAATACTTAAAATTATAGATGAAACACTTTTTGGTGACTGATCAGATGTAAAGTAGAAAGTAATTTGAGGAAAGCAGTACTGTTTGTTCTGGTGGGACTAGGATTTCTTTTCCTATATATCTTTTTTTTCTGAAATACAGATGGCCAACAGCATCAGCCATAAGCCATAAGCCTTGTGCAGTCAGGAAAACCTCAGCCTAATTAATAGAATTATATTACCAATCTGGCTTTTGCAAAGGTAAGCTAACAAAATTAATAGAACTGATTCAGATATAGATATAGATGATATAGATATATGTGAAAAGCAGCACACAAGCATGCACTTATTTCAGAATTTTAAGTGTAGGAGATAACTGACAATAGCTGAAGAAAATGCTGCATACCTGGGATATGTCAAAATGATAGAATAAAAAAATATGCTGAACTCTGAGTGGTAGAGGAGCTCTGTCTGATTCACAGCGGAGCTGAAATATCAGTAAATCACATGTACCTCCCTGGCCTTCCTTCAGCTGAAGCTGTGCCTACAGAAGCTGCCAGCAGCATGGCTGGGCACTGTGCTGCTTTGGAGAAAAAGCCTCTCCCTTGAAAAACCTCCCCCTGACTTCACCACCCACTGCTTCAGCTGTCCCTCCACAACAAAGGACAGAAGAACCACAGAACTGACATCCAAGGAGAAGCAAATTAATTGCCTTTTTTTCAGAGGCACCTCACAATGCCACAGACCGTATTCTTGCCCATGATAGTTATGTCATAAACAGCAATGTAGATGATCCTCCCAAGCAACCATGTCCTGCTTATTTTTAGTGGCATTTCTCTTCTTCCTATGGGCCAGATAAATTATTTCACTACAATGTGAGCTGTAAACTGTCCTGACCCTCAACCCTTTCTTTACACATTCTGCCTGCATATACTGAACTCTCAACTGTAAACATATATAAGTTTTACAGTGGATTCTTGATACATTTAATTTGATCCTTGACTCAGTCCTAGTTCACGATTCCTGGCTTTTTGTTATTGAGGACTTTTTGCAGAGATCATGCATAATCCTTGCCAGCTCCTTTCTGTCTATTATCTATTTTGTATCCTCTAGCAATGACTCACTCTTTGGATGCACATTATTGCTTTTTCTACTGGAAAACACCATAGTACGTCACTGCTGATTAGTGCTTCCTAATAGGAAAGTTAACATTTAGAGATTTCAGAACAGAATGTTTTGAAATCTGAGCTCTGCCTTACAGACAATGTGGCATCCATCCATCCATATAGCAAATATAAGAAAATCATGTTATAGCATTTTTTTACTCTTCCAGACTTGGTTGTAGAGAAGGAGACAGAAATTATAATGCAGGACTCAGTGAAAAGGAGTAGATCTCAACAAAGCTTATCTTGTAGCTCAGAGGCCAAAGTTATTACAGAGCAGATACAACTGAGCTGAAGTCCTCTGAGATCCTTGAACAAAAGGCAAAGAAAACTCTTCATTACTTTTGGCTGAAAGGGCATAGAGGTCCTAAATTTAATTTGTGTTGTAGCTTGTTGGGACAATTGAAAAAGTTCTGGGAAATCAAGGCCGAGCTGTGGGTATGGGAAGTTTGTCAGAACCAGAAAGAAGGGCTCTCCCTCAGGACAAACGATGAGATCACTCTGGTGTCCCCATTTGTTGACGGGTGATTTAACCTCTTGGAGGATGTCTGGTTAACAGCACCTATCTGGTGCTTTGCACCTATCCAATGTGGAAATAAGACCACAGAGTGCATATGCATATATCATACTCCATTTTGGAGCTTGGGTGAATAACTGGGTCTGGAAATTGCAAAATGTTCCAAATTTACATAAAACTAATGGGGCTTGTGTTACGCCGAGGAATTAGCTGAAAAACTTTGTAGTTTTATGAGATGCCCCTATGGTGGACTGAATCTGCCTGGTCAGCCACAGCCACTCACTTCTTTCAGGGAGCTGGAAGTGTGGTTGCCATGATGGCTCTGCTGGGAAGCTCTCTGCTTCAGAGGGGTTTCAGCTCTAATTCAACTAAGAATAGTTCAACTAAGAATCTAAGATTCAACTAAGAATGTCTATTCTGCAGGGGAAACCAGTGATGTATATGGCCCTACTGTCCCACGTGCTTTAGGGATTCCACTTTCAAATAATAAAAAAAGAAAATACAGGAATCAACTAAAAATGTCCCACATCTCTCCCTCATAGATGTCTTCCATCCCAAACAGATCAGTAATTAGTGGTTCACATTCAAATCATAAGGCAGCTTTGTTCAGTTCCTTCTCTTCTCCCAAGAGAGCACCTTAGCCCCTGTAGTATCTTAAAGATCTTGAGAAGGAAATTTCTGTTGTCATAGCTTTTATGCTTGGGGTAAATAATTAGATATCCACCGGAGAATAGAAGCAAATCTGGGTCTCCTCAACCCAAGATATTTGTTTTAAATGCTGCTCCTTTCTTCAAACAGAAATTTCATCCTGAAGCTGAGAAGTCTTTCCCAACAAAAGCTTATTTGAAACTGAAATATATTAATTAAAAGCTCTGATGTTTAGAGATTTTGGGGGATTTTAACTTAAAAACTAAAAGAAAATTCTTTGGAAACGTGTCTTTTGGAAATATATTTTTCCAAATATTTGGAAAAATTCTCAAGACTCCCTGCATAGACTCCCTACCCTTTGACCCTTTGCTGTAGCAGTTTTCCCAAATCTAAGATGTGGGTTTATTGAAGGTGGTATTTATGTACCCTAGCAGGAGGTAGGTGCAGGAAGTAGACATGATCTTTCTGAATCCTCTTCCTCATCATGCCATTCAGCATAGAGTTGGGAGCACCCTGTATCTTTATTATTCCACTTGTCCAGGAATGAGTTTACTCCCAAATCTGCAGTTTGAGAGGGTAAGAAAAAAAAAAAATTTTCCTTATCCCCGATGGAAGGTCTGACAAGAAATATTGTCCTGAAAGTTTAGCTGGGCTGTATAAGGTTTTTCTGTCTCTGTCTCAGTCAAACAGAAATATTGTGTTAAGCAACCCTCTGCTATACACTGGCATCATACCATTAATTTTAATATCATTCTCTCAGTTTACACTAGCTAATCATCCCTACCAAATGTTTAACAAATGCCTAGAAGCATTGCCCACTCTCCCACACACATCACTCTCTCTCTTGACTTTTTCTTTCTAACAACATCTCATAGTTTCTCCTTCTGTTGGTCTCTGCATTTACTTTTTTCACTTCCTATATTACACAGAGATGTTTTACTCTTAAGATTATTCACCATGCATGTTAGTTAATGTTCTCTTTAGAACTTCTATATGAATCATTGTTAGTCTTTCTTAACTTAAATTTTTTTTCAGTGTGCTTCTTGTCATCCATTACTGGTTTGATTCAATATCACCCTCATGTTTATTAGATTTTTTTTCCTGGCTGTTTCTTTCTTATATGTACAAGTATGACATCAAAATGAAACAGTTTTGCTTTCACAATTTAGATACTGGCCAACAGTATATTGCAATAAGCCTGATTTGAAACTTTCTACAAAGAGGACGAAATCAATTTATCAGCATAGTAATTCTGAATTGGTTTTATATGTTACTTTTCCTCTTTACCATATATCTGTACATGCATATGAACTTGTTCCTCCAAGTACTTCTAGAGATTAAACTGCATTTCAGGATATGACAGCAGAATAGATAGGAAAAACTTATTATTCACTTATCAAGAAATAAGGAAGAAATACAAAGAAATGGTTGATATAGAAACGGTCCATCAAATAATTGTATCATACTTCTTTGAAATGGATGGAATTTTTTTCATAAGAATCAATAGCACAAGGACCACACCCCTTTCTTTTCCCCCTTACCCACATTTGTCTCCCATATTCCCACTTAATGCTTGGCTATCTGAGTTCTGACAGACTTGAAACATTGATATTCATCAAATCACTATGGTATAAAGAAAATGCCATTATCCACATCTTATCCCAAACAGTATTCTTCATGCTGGAGCTGGCTAAATTCAGCCTAGTTACTGAGGTACTGATTCGCTCATGGGAAATGAAGAAACCTAACTAGAGAGAATTAGCTGTTGGTGAGTTAGGATGTTGCCTGAATATTTGCGGTGACATTATGGAAAAAGTGTGTCACTGACAGAGGTATCTCAAGTAGATGAAGTTAAGGGGGAAAAGTTCAAATCTGCTTTACCAACTGCATCTACCAGAGAAAGTAAGTAGCTGAGATATTACACAGGCATCTGCTGAACCCAGGTGCAGAACTATTCTTGGTCGCCTTGTGTGTCTTTCCCCTCTTTTTTTTTTTTTTTTCCCTAGAAATGTCACTGCTAATCAGCAGTATCAGAATATGGTATGATTTCAGAATGGGATTCTGAAATAGCTCTACCTTTAAATTCAAGAAAACAAGTCCAAGTAAATGCTGTCACCTTTGAAAATTTTTTTTAATGGGAACAGCTTTTGGTAAAAATACTTTTATGGCAAACTCATTTCATTCCATGTAGAGAGACAGAGACACAGAGAATATCCCATGATGAATACTTCATACATAAGTCTCTGGTTCATGGTATTCAATTATCCCTGACCTGTGAAACTTGAGCTAGGGATTAGCAACCAACAATTCTGACACTGACAGACAAGTATAGACATTTGATCTCTTGTATTTTTTATTGCTCTTAATCTTTCTTGAACTATCTGTAAATTAAGCACAGTCATGGCTCACAATTTATTATACAGGGATATGATGATGCTTTCTCTTCAAATAGATTGACATGAATGTAAAAAGTAAACATTCTCTGCTAGAATAATTGTCCAACTCATATGCACATTACTTGACAGGTCAGACACTCTGTAAAGCTGAGAAAAAGTCATCTATATAGCAAAGAGGAGGACTACAGGCAGAGTAAACCACACAACTTACCCCTATTGTTCCAAAACTTTCAGGCTTTCTTCTAATTTTTTTCTTGCAAAGGTGTCTCCATAACCATTTGATCAGATACCACAAAGACTTTGGGCTTGGTATGACATTAAAAGGAGTGGGCAGAGTTCCTCCTTCTTCAAAATAACTCATCCAGAGTTTTGTTCGAGCAAACTTCCACTCAATGTCTGCATGATCCTGAACACAAGAAACACATCATCGACATAGATATTGCTGTAATTAAGGAGGTGAACTAAACCCATAAAAAATCTGAAAAAACTAAAGCAAGAACAATTGAAATCCTAATGAATTGTCTTTTTAAAATACTGCCATCTTTTGACAGTACATCTTTAACACAAAGCAAAGCTAACCTGCGTTACCTCAGTAAGATGTTCGATATGTAAAGTATGTATCTACTTGTAAGCACTTCTTTCCCTGTTACAATCTGTTAAATTATTGAAAGTCTCTCAAAAAACAGAAAAGGTAATTACAAGCAGAGAAATACTACATTTCTGGAAGAAGCAGTTTGTTGTAATAGCAGTTCACCATTATTCTGTAGAGATCAGTCTAATTATGCTGCTCTGCAGCTGCTGCAACAATTCAGCAAGGCTCATGCATTTTCTTAGAAATTACCAGTCCCCAAAATTCCCAAACAGGTTATCCAACAAATCATGAGGCTACTAAAACTATTGAGTCAAGTATCTTCTTTTTCTTACTACTTCAGAATTCAATGTTTGGAATAGGTTTGGGGGGTGGGTTTTTAACTTTATTTGAAATTTCATTTATTTTGGAACCTATATAACATTGTAAAATCCTGAAATTTTTGGGAAAATGAAAGCTAAAGGCCATGGAAAGATGTCTAAATCCTAGCAGCTGAACAAGAAGTTTAGATCACTAATGTTAGATTTGGATAGCCAAGAACCTCAGCTACAGGTCTAGTCCTGGTCATACCGTAACAAAAGCAACAGTTTACAACTTGTAGCAAGAAAAGTAAGCACTAAGTTTTAGTGAGTGGTCCTATGTTTAGTGATCTGGCTCACTAAACTCTGACAACTAAAGTTATACAAACACAGGTGGTCAGTTTTTCTTTTGTGGAAACACTTGTAATTTCCAGATTGGAAAAAAAGGCATATTTATAATCTTAAGACTGTGAAGCTTTCTTTTGTTTGCCTTCTGCATGACCATATTTGAATTATGATATGATGAATCAGTGGTTTTTTTTCTTAGTCTCCTTAATAGACACTTTAGAAATAAAACTATGCCAATCGCTCTGGTAATGACAAAGACAGTTTTCATTGAAGGAGGAAGCAGGACTGAGAAAGCCCTGCTTTCTCAAAGGAAGTTGAATGAGAAGACATGACCTTTAGTTTGAATAGCTAGTGTCCTTGGAACATTCTGTTAACTGTATGTCCGTGTCAGATAAAAAAATAAAATAGCAGTCTTTCAAATGCTAATAAATATAATGTATTAAAAATGAAGCAGCAACAGAACAATCCTGGGCAGTCTTTTTCTAAGAAGAAGTCCTGCACAGTGCAGCTTGGGCAGGGCTATAGCCGACATCACCTGCCAGAAACATCAGGACAGCCTTCTCAACCCAAGAGCTGGTTTCTTCACCTCTTCCCCATTTGTTGTTGAGGGGAAATTTCACTTTAACCAGTCCAGCTTGGGTCTGGTTTCCTGTCATTCCAGAACAGTGCAAAAGAATCAGATCCAATTGCAATATTTGTCCCAATGTCCTGCCTGTGAAGTGTTTTACTGCCAGAAAAATTGAATGTAGGAACCAAGAGAGGGTATAATCAGAAATTATCTAAAATAAGAAACAACTTACAGCAATGAGTTGGTAAGAGTTATTCATCATGGCTATTAGCATGTTGAGTAGAACAACCAGAGATATTACATTATAGGTACCAAACATGGTGGCCCCAACAAATTCAGTGAATTCATGCCTTGCTTTCACATTGGTCACATAGAGATTGATGAGTCCAAATATAGACCAGAATAATGACTGCAGCGTTTCAAATAACCTGAAAAACAAAACCCAGAAGGAATAGCTGTATAATAACTACACATTTAGTTCTCAGGTTGTTCAATTTCTCCCAAAGCACACAAAAGTTCTTGACTTGACTGAGATGAATGACATTTATCATAATATAGCCAACATAGAGGGAACAGCTAACTAGTGAAACAATGGCCTAGTCTTTCAAATCTGGGCCTCTAGACATACAATACAGAGTCTATAAATAAGCTTGCAAGCAAAGGGCTGATTTTGTTCAAACTACAGAGAGATAAATATAGTTTCAGAGATGTCATGTTGGACACCTTCTTTTGACCCTTTGCTTTAACTATAAGGGGTAGAATAAGGATTCAAAATAATTCAAGTATGATTGCAAAAGTAATTATTGTGTCTCGCCAGGCTGTTGAAAGAAGTATGGTATCCTCACATTATGCAATTCTGATTTGTTGAGAGCAACTGAGATAAAAAGAGTTGAATAATTAGAAAGGCATTATTATCATTAGCATAGGTTTTGTTTTATAAAGAAGGGAAACACAAAAAAAATCATGCTGCTCTCAAAAGAAATTTGTGGTTTTATATTTAAAGCAAATCATATTCCCTTAGAGAAGTTTGTACAACATCTAGGAAGCTAGTCACAATGATGAACTTTAAAAAAAAATAATCCTCTGCAGCTAGATACATCGAAAATTTCCCTTTTTTGTTCTGTGTTCAGCTACGCTGTAGTGTCATAAGAATGGTCCTGGTTAGATTGCTCCTTGAAAGTATGGAGCACATAAAGCATCAAATTTTGACATGACATCTACCTTCTGACACTAGTCCCAGTACTCCTCGCTATTTCCCAGATGAATATTGCTTCCCTCAATGCTGAGCTCTGAAAAATTTCCGTGTGCTTTTCTGTTCAGATCACATAAAGGTTAGACCTGCATAAGTGTTATTAATATAAAACATAAATAGGCTGTGCCTGAGGAAAATTACTTGATTAAGATGATATAAAGGCTGCTATTTTTATAAAGTTATTTTCTCTAAGAAGGAAGCCATTGATAATAAATATATTTTTTAAAAAAGCCTAGATACACAGAAGTTAATAGTTAAATAGATATTTATAGCAGTAGTTTGATGTAGGTTGAAAGGTGAAAGACAAGAGAATTAGTGTTAATTTGGCAGTGTTTTGGTTCTGTAGATGAACTAAAAACTACAATGAAGCAAAATTGATTTTCAAGTGAAAGAAAAAGAAACAGTTTTTAATAGAAATTAGAAATTTGATTGTTTGGAGTAGAGTCAGTAGAATCTGGGACTGCATGTTTTTTTTACAGCCTATCACATTTGGAAGGAATCTTCAGGTTTTAGAACACCAGACTTATTTAATGCCCACAAGTAGACATGGAAGAAATGCATAGTGACAGCTGCCTGGATGAGCAAGGTCTGAAATGGTGACTTTATGCAACTTCTGATCTCATTTATCTTCCTCTTATCTCTATTTTACCTCATATCTTTTGAGATATCTTGAATTGTAGAGACTTCACTGTGGTATGAGGAGAAAATTATTAGTAACGAAATGTTGTTTTTTTTATTATTATTAGGGTAATATTAGATGTGTTTGTCAGGACACCACTGTAATACCAACAAAAAACAGAGGTTCTTTTCTGTAGACGGCATCTAAGTCATTAAAATATTTGGGGGAGGAGGAGGATAGAAGTAAATAGCTACTTACGTTGAGAATGCATTATTCTGCTTTTCACATCGTATTCCTTTGCAGTTGCCAGGTTCATTTGTCTCATAGTAGAAGTACAGCTGGTTCAATCCATTTGCAAAAGCGAGCAGCACAAGGCAGTATATGAAGAGAAACTTCAAAATGTCCAGCAACATTCTTCCTAGAGATATCTGCAGAGGTCCCAGGTGAGAATTTGCAGTGAATAATGAGATCAAGCGCAGGGAGCTGAAGATGTTTGCAATTGCAAACAGGGCCTCAGCCACCAGGGTTGGGTGCCACATGTCCCAGCTCTCCCGTGGAACTAACCCACTGTACTGAAAACAAGCAGAAGGCAAGAAATTACTCCTCTATTTTGATGCATAAACAAGCATGTCAGTTTCTTTATAAGCTGCTCAATTAATTTGCAGATATCACAATAAATTTTCACAGTAGCGAAAATTTTCACAGTTTAAAAATTCTGACACTGCAAAAGGAACAGTTTTGAGCACCTTGCTTTTTAGAATTGTAGAAATTTCCAGCTGTACAAGCAGGTAAATTATTTCTTTGAAGGAAAGTGCAGGGCTGACAGTGATGGATAGAAACCCACAAAAGCTCTGGCAAGTAGGAAGAAAACATTCAATCACCAAGTAAGTATATCAATTAATCACTAATACTGGACCAATGATGAAAAAGATGTTTATTAATGAACCATGCAAACTGCTTATGTGTCTTATTATCAAAGAGTCTGACCCTTGAAAGTGTGACTTCTGTTCATGCTCTACCAAAGAAAAATATTCTTGAAGATGAAAGAAATTTGAACTGAAGATTAACTACTATAGCAGACTCATTATTATTTATTTGAACTCATTAATCTGTTTTATAGAACATATCAGATGAGAGAATCTATGCTAGGAAGCCCTCTAAAAAGGGGATAATATAATATAAAGCAGATTTCAAAGGGGGACTATGGTGTTATCTGTATTTACCTATTCTAGACCATGCACATGCACCTTCAGAGCTGCTGGGCATGCCCTGAGCAGTAAGGAAAGGGACTCCATGTGTCACTGGGGCCAGATGACACAACATAAACAGGCATCACAGCATTTCACCACACTCACCCTACAAAGAAAGTGATCACTGTCAGAGTGGTTCAGAAACACCCGAGTAACATATGTTAAGTCTGTAGAACCTGATCAGACGCATCCCAGAATCCTACAGAAACTGGCTGATGTAGTTTCCAAGTCACTCTCCATCATATTTGAAAAGTTTTGTCAGTCAGGTGAAGTTCCCAGACTGGAAAGAGGAAAACATTGCACCCATTTTTAAAAAAGGGGAGAAATTAAAACTTTGGGAACAGCCAACCTTTCAGCCTCCCCTCTGTGCTTGGAAAGGGCATGGAGCAGATCCTCCTAGAAGCTGTGCTAAGGCACATGGAGGACAGGGACACAATTTAAAGCACCAGCACAGTTTCACCAAGGGGAAGTCCTTCCTGACCAACCAAGTGGTGCTCCATGATGGAGTGACTACATCAGTGGACAAGGGAAGGGTTGCAGATGTCATTTGTCTGGACTTGTGTAAGGCTTTTGACAAGGTCCCTTGCAACAATCTTCTTTCTTAACTGGTGAGAGATGGATTTGATAGGTGGGCTGTTCAGTGGATAAAGAACTGGCTGGATGAGTGCATCCACAGAGAGATGATCAACATCTTGACGTTCAAATGGATGTCAGTGACAAGAAGCATCCCTCAGGGATCTGTACCGAGACTGGGACTGTTGAACATCTTCATTAATGACATAGACCAAGAGATTGAGTGCACATTCAGCATGTCTACAGAGAGACCAAGCTGAGTGGTGTGGTTGACATGCCTGGAGGACAGGATGCCATCCAGACAGACTGGGACAAGCTCAAGAAGTGGCCCCATGGGAACACCATGCGGTTTAACATGATCAAATGAAAGGCACTGCACCTGGATCAGGGCAGCTCCCAGTATCAAGATGGTCTGGGGAGTGAAAGGATTTGGAGGAGATGGAGTTGAGGTGCTGGTAGATGAGTGCTCACAGCCCAGAAATCCAACCATATCCTGGGCTATACAAGAAGTGGGGCCAGAAGGCCAAGGGAGGGGTTTCTGTCCCTCTACTCCACTCTGGTGAGATGGCACCCAGAGTGCTGTATCCAACTGCAGCATCCTCTGTACAGGAAAGACATGGACTGTTGGAGCTGGTCCAGAGGCATACAGTGAAAATGGTCACAGAGCTGGAGCACCTCTCTTCTGAGGAAAGGCTGAGAGAGTTGTGGGTGTTCAGTGTGGAGAAAAGGTGACTTTGGGGAGATCTTGTGGCCTTCCAGTACCTAAAAGGACGTCATAGCAAAGATGGAGATAGACTTTTTAAAAGGGCCTGTAGTAATAGCAATGAGCTTAATGGTTTTAAACTGAAAAAGGGCAGATTCGGACTAGATATATGGAAGAAATTTTTTATGGTGAGGGTGGTGAAACACTGGAACAGGTTGCCCAGAGAAGTGGTAGATAACCCATTCCTGGAAACATTCAAGGTCAGGCTGGATGAAGCTCTGAGTTGCCTGATCCAGTTGGAGATGCCTGTGCTTATTGCAGAGGCACTGGACTACATGACCTTTCAAGGTCCTTTCCAACCCATTTCATCCTATGATTCTGTGATTCTACAATCCAAACTGTGAAGGGGAACTGGGCATTGCTTTGGACACTACCAGTTGGCACAGGCCCCACACCAGGGTTTCTCTAACCAACTGGTGTTGCATGTGAAACTGTCCCAGTGCCTGACAGCAATCCCTGGCACAATGCCATTTACTCATATACAAGCAGCCATAGCAGCTTTGTTTTTGAATTTGGGGATGAGAACTGAAAAACTGAAAAACAGCCCATTAAAGAACTAAGAATTACTCAGCCTTACATTTTGTTCACCTGTGACATTTTTTCTCTACAGTGCAATGAATTAAATCTAGACCTAAATTTCTATGCTAGAATCATAGATCAGTATTCTCTTCATTAGACTATCCCCTCCCTAATGATTATGCTCATCTACCCCATTCACTATGGCTCTTTAATCCAGTTCCGATTGATTCAAGTTCAGTGATAAAAAATAGGCAGTAGAAAATAGAATTTAGTTACTGGGGACAACACCTAAGAGATAAAACAAGAATAACAAGCAGAATAAATTATTTTCAGTGTGTTTGAGAAGAGAGATGAAAATTCCTCAGCATGATTCCTATAATGGCTTTCTTTGAATAATATTTTACAGCACATTACTGCAAATTCTCATGGCATGTTAAAACCCTCACAGATGAAAACCTGAACCTTTTAAAAAACTAGGAATAATTGTCTGTACAAGCAAAGGTTGGTGCTGGACAGTGCAGTAGATACTCAGATTAGGGAAAAGTACACAAGCTGTCTTGGGGCAATAAAGTAAAATACAGTCATGGAGAAATGTGAAGAACATTCAAGAAACTGGGAAGAGATGGAGTTTTTGGTAGAGAATCAAAAGCATCAAACTGCAGACATATTTTAGGTGTGGGGAAGTAGTGGCAGATTCTATCTGCTACTACTTGGGCAGGTAATTAGAGGGAAATTAGAGGTGTGAGGGAGTTGGGAGAAATTGAAGAAAATACCCTTCAGAGAAACACATGGAACTACAGGACACTGAGCAAGTATAGCACATGATAAACCAAGACAAGAAGAATCAAGTTTAACAAGTCAGGTGTGGATAGCCATATCTGCACTCTAGCATCTACTCTTACAGTCAGCAAAGAGAAATGAGCATTTCTAGAGTAGTGGGAAAGCAAATACCCCGCATAGGTGAGTTGCTCTTTAAGTTTCTCATTTTCCCCTCATTGATTGTTGGGGAAGGGGATAGACTATCTTTTGCTGTAGTCTGGCAAGATGTGTCCAATGTCACATTTTCTAAAAGAAATGATGTTAAGCAGAAAGGTAAGGAAAAAGGGACCTTGTCTATGATGTCCTGGGTAAAGACACAAAACTGATTTGTTTGAACATTCAGAAAAATGACCTTTAATTTGTAAAAGGGAAATCAAAGGCACAGCTGTGATGTTTCAATGTAACTGACTCTTCCTTTTCTGGGCCCAAGTGCTTCCTGCATGTTTGGATAGAATTCAAGAGGTGTCACTGTCATAAGTGGAGAGTGATGGCTGTTATTTCAGTGTTGAAGAAACATAATTTAAAAGACTGTAAATACTTGGCAGAAAAAAGTGAGAAAGGTGAAGGCCTGAGAGATAAGTTTGGAAATTGTCTGTGAAATATACTAACTGCAAGAAGACAGCAAACAATATAAAGAAAATAATGAGTATAAGAGGTCTCTAAGAACAAACCCCTATTGAATACACTAACCAGAGCAGAGGATGCTGAAAAGGAATCTAGAAATATTGCAAAAAAACCCCTACAGAACAAAGCAGCTTTCATCTGTAAAGAAAAATACAGAAGAACAGCAAAAAGACTAGGTATACTAAAACCAGGGACAGTGAAAAAGAAAAAAAATGTATCCTAGAGTCAAACCACATAGAATTGAAGTATTTTTTTTCTCACTCATGTCTGTTGAAGTTCTTCTGTTCTACACAGGATAAATAAATTAATATTGTTCTAAAGAGTGGAAAATGGTAAGAGAAAATATTGCAACACTGAGTTTGCTGTAATTCATGATGTTGATACTCTGCAGTCCTCTATTTGGTGACCCTGATGAATTTCTAACCCCCCTGGAAATGCAAACACAACCTTTTGACATACAGCAAAGCCAACCACCACTTAATTTGATTAAATAAAACCCATTATTCGCTCTGTGTTGAAGGAAATTTACATGGCACATCAATGGAAAATTAAGAAGAGCAGAAAACAAATTGAGCAGCACATAAACAGTAGAGTTTCAAGGTAAATATATGATGCTTTTGCAGTGTCAGCCAGGGAATACAAGGTAATAATCCCTGATCCTTAGTCAAAGGAACTAAAATGCAAATTCAATATCTGAGCCATTTGTGAGAAAAAACTGCTGGATGATCACTGTTTTCCCATTAAAGCAAAAGGCATGAACTCTTGATCTCTTGGAAGCACCACAAGAGATCAAAGAGACATGTTTATCAGGCTACTTGAACGTTTAATGGGCTGTTGGACCTCAGTCTAAGATGACCCTCTTGTTTCTGGCCACAAAGAGACAAATTACATAATATTCATTTCAGGAAAAGTACTTTATATACTCCTGAAAAGTCATATGTAAATGTGAACTCTTCCTATTTTAAAATGTATGTGGCAATCTTTGCATTCATTATGTGGAATTTCAAGCAGCAGTAGGAAGAGGGCAGGGTGGCCTAGCAGAGAGCTTTAGAATTGTAATTACACTGAGGAATAAGGTCCATAATTTCTCAGGGGTGGAGAGGTGTTAATCTGCCTGTGTAAATGGACATTTAGTCTGTGAATCTGATAAAATACCAATCAAAACAATTTTACAATGCAAACATGTAACAATGTGTTAGTTTCTGCAGAACTAGTGGCAGGAGAGATATACAATCTTATTTACTCCTGAAAAAAGTAGACCTGACACAGTGATCATTAAGCCAGTTAATGTTTAGATAAATAATGTACTTTAGCTACTTTTCAGAGTTCTTGCCCTGAATAGGAATTTGTTTCCCTACTAGATCTTCACATCAGAGGCTGAGGCATGTTATCAGCAATATGAGATTGTATGTGATTTTTAGCAGAATTGGAAACAAGCAGCACTAGATCCAATGCTCAAGTTTAACAAATATTTAAGAGAAAGCAAGAAGATTCTGCACACATGTTAGCACTGCACTCACCCTTACATATCAAAACAAAATATATTATATGCAGAAAACATGAAAGGAACCATTTTTTCTTAAAAATACCTAAAAACCCTTCATAAAAACAAATGTGTTGCTTAAAATCTGTCATCTTGTACTTTAAAAAAATAGAACAATGTACTATAGATTATGATATTTTTATGGAGGAGAGAGCATTTTCAATGGATACACTGGATAATTTAGGAAGACCTAACATGTTGATACAGGGACAATAAACCACAGGCCATTGAAAATTATAAGATGTCCTTATTTTATTTGAACACTGGCAACGAAACCAGTTACTTTGAGTTATCTTAGCAGTCTCTCATCCTGAAATTATAAGCTTTGGTGAATTTTACATTACCCCATCAGCTACTCTAGGTAATATCCATCTACTTAACTACTGCATCAGTAAGAGCCTTAAACGGGCAATAAACACTGTATTTTACTCTGGGAATATTTATCACACAGGAGACGCTCATAATTTCATTCAAGGGAGTTGGTTAAAACGTTTTCTTGGGTGGCTGGAACTGATCCATAGAAGATAGAATAAATCTAAGAACTGACCTTATATATTTGCTTCAATAAAGACAGAAGAGCTGTAACTTAGAAAAACCTGACTCACAATGCTTAGGAAAAGAAAATGAAGGCTTTACATTAAAATATACTGGTTACATTTGGCATCCTCTCAATCTCATCTGGCATAGTGGCAAAGAACTCTGTTGCAGGCATTTGAAGGAATGTGGCAGGGTATTAAATAACACTTATATTCCTCTGTTTATTATCATGGGTTATCTTGTGTTCCAGTTGCCTAGCACAGCTTTTGTAAGCATTGTATTCACTATGATTAAAATGTACACACTAATTTGGAGAGTAATGGATGCACATTACCCCAGATACTGTCACCTTGGAATCTGATTACTGTAAGCAGAAGTTATTTTGGAGATGAAAGGATTATAATGTCTTCTAATCAATATTACTCTGAAGTAAATAATTGGCCATCTCCAATGCTTTGGAAACATCTATTTTAAATGAACTCTGAGCTTTATTTCAAGGGACAGTGAAATGACTATTTATTTTCTAGTCATTTTATTATAAAGCATCTTTGTGTGTAAAAAGGCATTTCATCAGCTTTTAAATGACAGTTTACCACTCTTTGGAGCACCTTCCTCTTTCAGGCTCCAAATTTCTCCAAATGAGAAGACTTCCAAAGGTTTGCAGCCACAGATCCAGCATGTCAGAAACCTTTCGTCAAAGAAGGCTGATGTGTCAACATATGACCAGGGTAGGGTCTTTGTTCATCCCTGCTCCTGACCGGCTGGCACACGGAACTACAAGATGATATAAATTAGAGTTCCTGAGCTCCTCTATGCCTGTGGCAGGGCTGCAGCAAGAACAGCTGCTGTTTGAGGAGAGGAAATCATCACTGGCTACTTGATGGCTCTCTCCTTGTCCCAGTCAGAAGCATCTTGGCAGAGGAGGGGCTCTCCTTCCATGCACACAGAGTAGTACTATTGCAACTATAAATTATTGCTGGTGGCGGGGAACTTGAAAAAGCTGAAGTACAATGCTGATCCCAGTGGCCAGTAAAAATGGGATTATCTCTACTTGGATGTGGTAAGAACTCTATGACAAATGCTAAGAAATCCTTATATTTCCTTTCATATGTGGTTTCCTTGTGCTATAGATAATTTTTGGCTCAAAATATCTCATTTTATGAGGAATTTCTGTCATATTATTTATTCATGTGGAATACAGACAAAATGTTCACAACATGTTCTATGCCTTTGGAAAGAAGGGCTGTTTTGCTGGAAGATACTTAAAGAGTGGAAATATAAGACTTTTCATAACAAGTCCATGAAAAGAACATAAAAATGAACACACAGCCTCAAATGACTTATAATAAATTTTCAAACAAAATTAAAATCTTGCTCTTTAGTTCCCCCCACCAATTTTGACTACATATTTTGGCAGTAGTTGTGTAAAATTGTCTTAGGGGTAATAATTTCCCACTAAAAAAGTCAAAGATTAACATAAAATGCAAGCATTATAAAAGATTACAGATAATTTTCATTTCTCAAGAATTTAAAAGTATGACAGTTCAGGACAAAATAAAAAAAGATTTCACAGGCCAAGGAGAAAAAAGCATAAAACCCAGTATTTTGTTTGCTCTTATACTTGTCTAGTTTCCTGTCATTGCTGCAGCAGATTCACAGAGCACATCATACATCTCTTGAATTGCTAAGCCTCAGGACCTCCAAACAGAGATAAAAGATTGAAGAAGCCTGATTTAATTTATCTTTGAAATGTTGCTGATTTTTTTTTACAGTTTACCTTTGAAAATGCAACGATTTTCAAGGAGATTGTTGCCAAGTACAAGGAGTTCATTACAAAATCCATGAGATTCCACCAATCGTGAATGTAGTCCTGTAGTCCACCATCCCACATCTGTTTAATTTCACCCCAGATAAAACCTGAAAATAAAACATAATTCATTAGGCATGAATATTAAGTTTTAAAAGGCTGTGACTATTCTAGACACTTAACTCATGATAGATTGATTTTCCTTACATCTAGTGTAAAGGGCAGGTGGATAAGTGCTCTAATTTACACATCCAGATAGGTAAAATTTCATCTTTTTGCTATTTCCAGAATTAATTTGTCACACAAAACCCCCACAAAAAAATCTGCTTCTACAATGACAATTTCTTTGGTTTTCTTCAATCACTTTCTCATTGTATCCTAAAAAGTATAAAAAGAGTCTTAAAATAAGCTCCCAGTGTCAACTCAGTCCTTGGCAACGGATGCAATGTATTTCTGGAAAATTTATGACTGCAGGTCAATCCAACACAATTTATTTTATTTGGAACCCACATAATAAGGAAGAGAATTTCTATTGTTATTGTCAATGCTGAGCTAAAGTCTCCCTTTTCCATATGAGAGAGTAGTGTCTCCAGAAGAAAGTCTTTTGTTTGACACCTTCCTTTGGGACATGAAGCAATTGAAACTGTTTTCAGGTGTGCAGAGCACATGTTGTGCTAGACACAGTGAAACACAAATATTCAATCCAACTGGAAAATCTTGCAAGTTGTCTAACATGAACTTGGTTTAACCGCTTCAGAGACAACTGTGTGGAGACTCTTTTTAATGCTATAAATATTAAAACCCCTCTGAAGAAGATACTCCACATTACTGTATAATAAGACAACACAGTACATTTAGATGCACATTTCATGTTATTGTCTAGAGATTTTTTGATAACAATACCATTGCAACTTCTAATATTTCACAGTTAATTATTTTCTTGTAGGAATTCCTTACTTTGTGCTCATTAGAGGGGCAGAAATAATGCCAATCTCTCACATATTGGTGTTGAGTGACAGTAAATTTAACATGTCTTTTTTTCACCTACTGTTTTAGAAAATGGTAAACAGATTTTGTGCAGGGGCCTATAGAGTTCTGCATTTCCTTACTATGAGCTTAATTCTCCTTAAACCGTAACATTTTCTTGCAGTGGGTCTTCTGGCTGACTGGATGGAAAACTTGTGATTTTTCTCAAGCATGATCTGTATGAAGTAATCTCTGGCCTACTTTTGTTTGTGCCAGGTAAGTTTTTGAATTATTACAAATTAATTTTCCAGTGTATTGGCTTAGTGTTTCTGTCTCCTGCTTGCTTTTAAAAGGAAAAGTCTCCTTCCTCACTAACTTCACCCTCAAACCTCAGACACATGGTCCCATCTTTTTTCTGTGTGTCATCACCAATAATCACAAGCCTCAGGAGTACCTGAATCACCTGACTGAACCAGCAATTTTTATTTTTACAGGATTAATTTTCAGCCATGCCACCATCACCGTTTCAGCATTCTGCAGACCTGGGGAAACACACTCTGAGGAAGGATGTCGCTGGGAACATGCAGGCAGGAAAGTGGAATAGGCCTATTTTACTGCCTACCACAGACTAGACAGGCTGACTGCAACTCTATCTGTAGTATCAGATAAACCTAACCCAGAAAATATAGCACTGTTACAAAGTGAACACTTATTTTAACGATGCAATCAATTGTGCTGCCCAACAGCGAGAGAACAGCTGAACATGATTGCACAGCAGGGGTCAATATCCTCTAACAGCACACTGCTCTGTCCTGCTACACTGCTGTAGCTGCCCAAGGGCATCACAAAGGCAACACACTTGCACAAGGCTCCCAGGGCAGGTTCCTATGTGCCTGCCCATTTCAGCCAGTGAAATTACTTAATCACTTACTCTTAAAGACCTGGTCACTCGTGACATGCAGTACGGACGTGGTGACAGAAGATCTGCCTCCCCCTTCTCTCCACAGTCCTCTCCAACCTTCACCACACAGTCCATGAACTTGCAAATGTCCCTGCTTGCTCTTCCACTGCCTTTTGGGCATAACTTGCTAAGACCAAACCATCATCAGGTCATAAAAGCAGCTACTTTGTGTGCTGCTATATCCCTCCACATTACAGACACTGCTCTGAATCACTGCTGCTCCACCTGCTTTATAGCACATAAAAATCATACAGCAGGAGAAGACCTGGCTCCAGGCTCCAAGCCAAAGTCTGTGTAACACAGATATGGCCCCTAAGTCTCAGTGTCACAGAACAGTGCCTTGCTCTTTTTCATTTAAGGAATTTTTGCTTAAAAGTTGCAGGATCTTGACATTGGCAAGACTGCCATGGCTCATAAAGCAAACAGCTGCATTGACAGAAGATTCCGAAATAAAAAGGCTTTGCAGAAATCAATACACACATTCATAGAATGAAATAAACTTTTTTGTGACTTATCAGAGTTAAGGATTGGCTTTAAAATACTCTTTGAAAAGACAGCAGTAATAGGTTGGGATGCAAAATAAGATGAATGCTTTAACAAGAGGCTTTAGGTTAATTGAAGTCTTCTGCCAAGATATTCTTTGGTTCACCACCAGGCAAAGATATGAACTGACACAGACTGCAGCAGGGCAGTTCTCTGTAAACCTGTTGCTCAGCATTGTATGCTTTGATGGCACTGCCTAAAATATAATGGGATTATGTACAGATTGAAAAAGAAATGCTGACTAATGCTGCTGCACTTGATCTGTTTTGTGAGTGAAAAGCCAGACTGTTTTTCCAAGCACTTCCTGGGCTTCAGAAAATGAAATGTAATTTTAAAGTTGACACTAACAGAGAAATACTGACCTATTATAAAATAGGGAAGAGAATATATGGCTGTTGTAAATTTGATCATTTTGAATTAGAAGCACAATTAATCCAAGCAACCAGCAATTTGGAAGTCATTTGGCAGCTGAAAGTTCTGAGTATACTTTGATGTTGTAAAGGTGGTGGTTCTAATTATTTTTTGGTTCAAGACAACTTTTATGTTCATTCTGATGCATGTTCTTTTTAAGCAAATAGTAATGGAAAACTGTGAATCCCATATTTTTGCTGGCTGTAAGAGAGATGTGATAGCTTGCTCTTCTTGCCAGCCAAAGCATCTAAGTACAAACTCAATATATAAATACAGTTACTGAGACGCTACGTGACTCCAGAGAACTTGAAGCTATGCTGATGGACAGATGGATTCTATGTTTGTGAAAGACACACAGCCCACATATGCACAGGAGAGCTGCCCACACATGTATTTTTGAAAGCAAATCTTGGTATCAAGTCCTAAGGTTGATTGCTCAAATTCACAATTGCAGGGCAACCTCACCATGACAGCTGTGATCAGAGTCTTTGCAGCTACCGGGTCTCCATGGCTAGGGATTCTTAGCAGGGCTCATCTGGAGCAATGAATGCTGGAAGAACTGGACACTCTAGAGTTCTCTAAATCCTCCCAAGTGTGCCTCAAGGGCTGTTCTAGAAAAGTGTACTCTGAAATCCCAGAGCCTTTACGCAAGGCTGAAGATGTCTCTAAGGCCTGGTGAGCTTACGTGATGAAAGCGTTCTGAACAACAAAACTCAGGGATTTCCAGCTGTGCTGTTTAGGTTTAATTTACAGCAGCCAGAGGCCTTGAAATTTTTTGTAGATCAGAATTGTATCTTTTTACAAGAAAGAAGTGTCTGAGGGGACGAAGTCAGACCACCCTTATGTCCACAGGCTCTGAAACAACATGACAATTTTCTTCTGTTACATTAATTGGGAGAATCAGGAAAAGACTTGGAAAATCTATAGGGGTTTTTTTTCTTGGGTGTATTTTTTTTTTAGAAAAATACATCCAGAGATCAGAGCAGAATTATTTCGGTGGCCTTGTACACTTTTCTACTTGAAAGATTAATGGATAGCTGGATAGTACCTGATTTTATTATGAAAGGAGGCTTTAAGGCATTTCCAAACACGACCTGACATGACAGAGGAGAAGATATGCAGTGACAAGACTGTCTAGTAGAGGCACTGCTACAGGTAGGAAAGAGATAGAGAGTCCAGGCACTGCCTGATTATTAATGTTCCAAAGCAGCAACACTGCTGCAAACTGACAGAGTTCATGTCAGAGCTACACTTTCAGCAGCAAGGAAGCTGACACCTCGACAAAACAGAGGGGACACTGCCAGCCTGCACACAGGTATTGGGGAAAAACTGCTAAGAGAAACCAGCCTAAGACAGGGAGCAGATCTAAAACAAGAGCCTTTTAGGCAGTCAGGCTGGGGACAAGTTGCTTGCCCAAGGCCCTCTTTCAGCTCCCTGGGAGGAAACAGGAATCTCCAAGGCAATAATCCTGTCATCTGCAGGTGGGTCAGTCTTCCCACTGGCTGAAAAGGAAGCCATGGAGGATCAGGCTTAATTAAAACAGATGTGTAGCTTCCAGATGCCTGCATTTAGCTGAAATAATTCCACTCAGAGCAGATTTCACTATTTTAGCTGAATATTCTTTGCTATGTTCTGACTCCTTGCTCCAACTGTGTCTTTCCCATCTCTTCACATCAGCCAGATTTAACACCTGCCTCTTGGATCCTCACCTATCCATACCATGCTGTTATCATTTATTGCCACTTGCAAGGAAATTATAAACATCATGCATCTCTTTCACCTCATTAATCAAGGATTTTAATTAAAAAGTTGAGGGTAAGACTTTCAAATACTTGCTGCATTGTTTATACCCACATATTGGAGCAGTAAAAGAGAAATAACAGCATAGATATTTTGAAACAGCCTGAGATGACAGAGAAAAATTTTATAAACGCTTACGGTTTTAATGGGATGAAACAGATAAGTTCAGGGCAGGAATCCCACAGACCACATAGGGCCCTGGGAATGACAGACACCATGGAGAGGTTTTGTAAACTATGGTGAATTGTTATACATGCAAGCTGATCAACTGCAACCATTTGAATGAAGTCCAGTTTGCCTGAAGCAAGAAAGGAACTAAAATTGATCAGATAAAATGAATTTGGAGAAATAAAATGAATTTGTGAGTTAAACATTTTTTTGCAGCAAAATGTTCTGAACATTAATGAGAAAAGTTGTTTCTTCGGAAGT